AAAAATACATTATACACACATATTGTATCATATTAGTAGAGCCCTGCAAATCCACCGATATCTGTTTTATATCCATGGATCATTTTTGCAGATTGCGGATGGATGCGGATCCAAATTTTATATCTGGAGCGCTGCAAATTAGTGGATGTCCGCGGATCATTTTTGCAGATTGCGGATCGAATGGAGATACAAATTTTGTGTCTGCGTGGGGCTCTAAATAAAGTGTCGGGGAGCACTCTCGGTGACTGTCTTGAGGGCAGGACAGTTCAGTAGTAGAAAAGTTAGCAAAAATGTAGCTAGAATGTCTTTGAAAATCTATGTATGTCAAGTCAATCAGTACGGGATGAACATAAGTGTTTGAAGAGGACTTTCTCCCATTACAGTTTGTGAGCAGGTGAACTGTACCTTTGCTTAGTTAGGAGAGAATCAGACTTTGTGTTTTTCCTGTGCAGTCATTCAGAGGCATGTCTGGTGCTGCTGAGGGGCACCAGTGTGGTCAGGTGAATAGAATGTGGGACTGAGCATCAGGAGATGTAGATTCTAAGCCTGCCACTGCCCTGTTATGTGATCTTGGGCAAATCAGAGTGGATTTTAAGGGCTGAAGCTGTTATGATTGGGCTTCTCAATTTTTAAAAATAAATTAAAATATGTAGGACACAAAGGTAAAGTGGAATATAGTAGAGCAAGGGAAAAATCGTGTGCAGGAAAGTCTCTCTCGGTGGTGAGTGTTTATAACAAAACCATTGTAAATGGTCAAACTGGAAAAACTTCCTGGGCTTGGCTGCCTGTTACTGTAATGCCCCTGTGCACCATAGTGACTCTGCAAAAGGGCCATACAGAACGTGTAAATGGAATCTTGTAACTTGAACGCATTGCCAGAGTGTTGTAAAGAGATCTGAGTGTAACTGAAATCAATCAAATCCAGTGTCTTGAACTTGAATCCAGTCCTATGTCCTCTGGGTGAGGGAATCTTCCCAAGCCTTTCTCTCTGTTCTGAGTCCAAAGTCACAACTCTGAGGACCCGACCGATTTCCCATTCACATCAGTGGGAACACAGCCAGTTGACTTTAGTGGAAATTTGATTGGGTCCTTATGGCCTTTCCCCTGATCAAAGGAAAATAATCCCTTACTTGCCAAGAACCAGATTATGCCTTCGCAATCTGTTACACCTGGACTAAAGACCAATTCAATAGATAACTCTCAGTTTTAAGCAACCACTTTACTGTAGATCCAAGGTTTCTTGCACAGTTTTGCTTCATCTGTTTTTAAAGGCATCCTCTCTACCAGACAGCCAAGTTCTGTTAATCCTTTGGGTGGTCCCTTAAGGCAGTTGTCACTGCATTCTTTTTTTTCTTTTGTAATTTCTTGTCACATCTTTAGTAGCCAGATGCGTGCAGCTGTTTGAAGAGGACTGTCTGCCAGAAAAATCAATAAAAGAACTGTCATTCAGTTCATTCACGATTTCATTCCCCTGCCCCATTTTTTGACTTATTGAGATAGAATGTGTGAAACTGGTACCTCGCCAATCATTTGCTTGTGTAACCTTTCTCTTTCATTATTGTCAGTGTTAGCGATAGGCACTAGGGTATTAACAGTGAGTGAATGATGTTATAAGTCAAAGTATTTGGGATGTGCTTGCTATTCAGAATAACGTTGCATTATCATTGAGAAAGTCTAGGTGTAGAGAAACCGTCATGAGAAATCGCCAGAAGAAATGTATGAAATAACGCCATTTGTGTCAAATTCCGTTCTCAGATAGATGTGATTTCAGTGGGAGTCACATGAGCGGATCTGTGGGCAGAATTTGACCCTTTGTGTGTAGTATGATTTAAGAACTGGAATTCAAGCAAACGTTTAAAGTGATAACATTTTGATGTATTTTATTTATTTATTTGTTTGTATATTTACTGTGCCTTCAGTTTTTCAATGGGCGCCAAGCATAGCAATCCAAGGATGGATTCTGGCTTTAAGCATAAGACCTTACTTCTGAAGAGAGAACTAGAATGTAGCCTTCGGTGACACTGGAAGAAGAGAATAAACAATCTCCTGAATGCATAATGGACCAAATCCTGGAAATCCTCATTCATGCAAAACATCCATTTAAGTTAATGGGAGGTTTGCCTGAGTGTGGACCACAGTATCTGAGCCTGCTAAGAACGTGAGAGGTTAGCTGTTCTGATTCACTAAGCAGTAATCCTAGGATAAGGAAGGGCAATTGCAGCAAAAGATATTTATCATTCAGTAGCTGATGGAGGAATCAGTTACTGGGGGGCAAAACCCTTTCTGTCTACAACGGGTTTTTTTTTTTTTTTTAAATTGTCTAGAAGCCCCTCTAAAGTTGTGTTCTTCTACCAGTGAAAAGATTCAACTTTTCAATCCATGCCTCAAAGTACCTGCAGTTCCCATTTCAAGGCAAGTGGGACAATGAATACTGGAGAGAGACACACAGATTTATCTGTGTCCAGAGCACTTGATTACATAAAAAGCTACAAACCTAAACTTGCCCATTCTTGTTTTCCCCACAGTCCTTTTGGTGCGCTGATAACGCCGGGGAGGGATGTCCATTTCCCCTACCTCTTGTGCTGGGGACCTGCCTCCTAAAGCAGTATCTTGGTACGCTGGACTGGTTATTTGGGGGTATCTGCCTTCTCGCAGAGATTCATTCTGTCCTTTATTTTACTGCGTATGGTAGCAGACTCCTCTCCTGCCTTTCTCGATTACTGTCTCTGCACTTGACCTCTGGATGAGAAAGCAGGCAAGTAGTTTCCTGCAAAGCTAATGCTCATGACACTTTATCAGTGGTCTGGCAGGTATATGGTGTAAGCAAGTGCCCACACCTTTTTGGAGATCAACTGCTATGCTTTCTGATGCCTTCTTTGTTTCTGTGTTCTCCACTCTGGTTCGCAGCCAAAATTCCCTGCTCTGCTGCCAGCCTGGCCATCCCATGTGCCAGGCGAGACCAAAACCTTGGGTTGGGTTGGGTTGGGTTGGGTTTTCCCCTGCTGCTGAGCACGTAGTCAGTTGTTTTGCATCCCTTCAGACTTATTGGTGTCACTTTTTTTATTTTGATTAAACTAGCCTTATATATAATGTGCTACTTAATAGCCTTGCGCCTGCTCCCAGAGAAGCCCGAGTGGCTGTTTCCAGTGGGGGCAGAACTGAGTCCTGAATGTGCAGTTTTCAAACCTATCATGATGCATGTTAAGGACAAGATGGAAACCCGCACATTTTACACAAATTGCCTAAACGCCAGGTGAGTTTTATTATAGGTAGATGCATATTAAAGTGTTCTGGCTTGACGGCCAATTAATTAGTAGGAATACAATTTTGTGGAGGTGGCCAACTCAAGGGATTAAAAGAGGGATATGAAGCGTTCACCTCTAGGTCACTAATTCAGACTCAGGCCAGGAAGCTGTCCTTTCTGATCTTTGGCCTGTGTGAAAGGTACACAGTGGTGCGTGAGGTACAAGGAGCTAATTGTGTCTGTCCTGTGCCTAGTGCCTACCACTGGGGAGACACCAAACTGGGAGGTCAGTTTGCTGGCAGTGTCACTGGAGAAGCCAAGGAATGCCCTGGCATAGAAACTAAACTACCGTCCCCATAAAAGCAGGACCTTCCTGGTCAGCTTTGAGGCCCATTGGCTCAGTGTGGGTGAAGCTTGTGGTGCTGTTGCCCACCATGTCTGTGCTCTCTGGTGCTGGGCTGTTTTGACCTCAGCTGGAAGGATGGACACAGCCAAACGAGGAGGCCTTCCTGAAGGAACAACATTGGCCCACTATTCAGTCAGAAGAAAGGCCATGAAAACCTGTGCTAAAATGGGGTGGGGTCAAATGTGTAAGAGTTTGAGAGAGACAAGGTGGGTAAGGTAATTAACATCTTTTATTGGACTGCCTTCTGTTGGTGGAGGAGACAAGCTTTACAGCAACAGAAGCTGGTCCAATAAAAGATATGTCTTCACCTCTCCCCTCCCACCCCGTATCTTGGGATCAACGTGGCTATAACAACACTGCAAATGATAAAAGCTTGCCAGTGGGCAGTGCCAAGCAGAGTACCTCAGACAGCACCCTATGACAGATCGGGGGAGTCAATAGATGCCACCCAGAGGCACTCTGCTCGAATGGGTGAGATAATTGCCTCCCTCAGGCAGTACATCAGACATGACTATCCAAGGAACAGTGGCAGTGGGTGATGAGGGACTATATTTTGGATCGATGGCACATTTATTGGCAGATAGACAACTTACTGCATCCCTGAGCCCAGTGGTTCTCCCTTGCGGTCCAAGCAGCATCCAGCTGCATCTCATGTGACAGCCTCAGGACCTTACAGGCAGTATATATATTGAATAGATGCGGCCCACATAATACAGAGAGAGCTGCATATGCAGCCCTCAGTAGTAAATAGGTACCAAAAGAGCCTCCTTCATTATAACAGGTCTTATTGTGGTCACGGGCAGTTTAACTGTCATCCCTCTAGTTGTGGCTTCTTCAGCTCCCCCTCCTGCCTCCGTGGAGCTCAAGAACAAACAGCATGCCAGCTGGTTATGGCCTGCCCTCTCTATCCTCTTGATGATGGATGGATGTGCATGATGTCTCTGGAAGCTGCTGCCATGATAAAGTGGCTACATTACTTACCCCATTCTAGTTCGTTGTTTGTGCTGCCTTCTGGATTTGAAGGTGACCAATGCCAGGAGGAGGTGAACAAGGAGGTGCTAGGGCTGAATGGAGTTTTCAATGGAGTGATTGAGCAAGTGGTGGATTGATAGAGCTGTATTGTCTTAAAGCAAATAGAAAAAGGACAAAAACATTTGGATTCATAATAGCATTTCCTTTTCTATATTTGGTTGCTTTTTGTCTGGGCATCCCTAAAATAAACCCTAGTGACATTCAGGGGAATTGTGGATGCTCAAAGAATGCAAGGTCAAGTAGTTTTGAAGCACTGGTTTATGGGTGAGTCTATTGATATCAGCTTCCTTCTAATCGACTTTCTTTTTGGTCCTACAGGTGCTTGTGTCTACCAAGGCTCATTGTTTGAGGTAGGTGAACCTTAATACGTTTCATGGTTACATTGAGGTTGATAGGCTGCACTTATGACTCAACAAGTTTTGTCAGTGCCACATGACTTCCGTGGCACAAATTGTAGTGATGCTTTCATGAATATGCAATGGGGCGAAATCCTGGCCCCGCTGAAATCCATTACAAAATTCCTGTTGACTTCAGTAGAGTCAGGATTTCACCTGTGGTCTTTGTCAACCCAACCAGGTTACTGTTGAGCAAGACTCCGTGCATATTGACAAATTTGGCTCTTTGTTTGTCCTGTGCATTTTTAAGCAATGGGATTCAGGAATGTGCAAAACAAGACTGGCCAGCAAGTGTTGTCTAAAATCTCCCTGTATATTCTGTATGTATTTGATGTTTTGCTATCGGTGATGATCGTTTAACACTTTTCTTCTGGAAAACTTCATATTCATTGTGTGCTGTGACTTCTCCTTTTTTAAACTAAAAGTATGACTCTTGCATTTTTTGCTGTGACAAAACCATGATTTCTCCATTTTTCACAATTGCAAATAATCCACCTTAATCATTGGGCAGATATGTGATGGAGGGAATCTCATGCAAATAGTACTCTTCCATACAATACTTGGCTGCCTCAATTTGATACTCAAACAGTAAAAAGAAATTGACAAGAACGTTGCTCCTGAAGTGCTTACACACAGGCGTGCTATCACAACGAAACTACACAATGGTTTTTTGTTGTGGAATCTAAAGTAGTGTGCATCATGTTTATTAATTAGCTAGACTGGGTTTATATGTTTTATTTCCCTTAATACCCCCCTCCAGCAAAGTTACTGCAGTGTCTTTGGAATCTATAACTATTGTATAATCTCAAATTTTATAGGAGTTGGGTTCTTTTGCCTTCCAACCTTGACACTGACTCTTTTAAAGTTCTCCTGCACTTTAAAGGGGGAAATGAAGTGGAATTGATTTACATCACTGTGTCTTTGGTGGATGGCTTGGGGAAAAGCCGAAGCAGATTGTGTTCATTTGTTTCCATTAATAATACACTATGGAGCATCACAATGTTTTAAAGGAGATTGAAAAGTCTGTCTACACTCCATCAACTCTAATAAATTGTGTGGCAGATCATTCTCTTCTACTCATTTTGTCTCAATAAGGACTGTAATATAGTATAATAAGGGGATAGGAAATGAGATGTTCATCTATGTCACTGCATGATGATGATGTGTGTGACATTTACAATTCTGTTTTTTTTGGCTTTGTACACTTGTCTGGATGATGGAGTTGATGAAGATACGGAATAAATTGAAGGTTGTTTTTTGTTTAAATTATAGAAATTAAGGGTCAGTTATGGAAACCCTTCCTCACTTTAAGTAATTCCTTACTCAGTATGTTGATGTCAGTGGGATTACTCGTGGCGTAGGATACACTACTCTGTGTGTGTAAAGGTATACGGATCTTAAAGCAGCTTTGATTAAAAAGAATGCTGCACTGGGGAAAAACATCCTATATTTTGTTTGGCTTGAGGACTGTACACATGTGTAGTTATCCTGTCGTGTGACCGTCATTGAAATGTCACTATGGAGAAGAAAAAAAGTATATTAGCATTTTACCGGTGTTGGTATTTTTCAACATGTTACTACTCGAAGAAAAATACCAGGTCAAGTTATAGGGCTAGTTATAACCAGGTCAAGATGTGTGCTAACAAGACATACACTGCCTGGCAACATTGAAAGGGGAGAAAGACCAGCTGCATGCTGTTTGTTGGATTCTTTCAGAATCCCAGTTTGTTTAAAAGCAATACGATATTGTTTGTAGTAGCTCCCACAGCATGCAAGGTGCTTTCTGAACACAGCTGGAGACAACAGCAACCTTCACATTCTGAGTGCTACTAAGGACAAAAAACTATAAGACAATAATAACAATTACTGAAATCCTTGCCCTGAGGAACATATAACTTAAAAAGACAAAGATACTCTAAGGATGGGAAAGAACGATGAAACGTACAAGCAACGTGATCAGGAGGAGGATGGGGATCCGACTTATTTCTTTGCTTTGTTGTTGGAGCTGGATGAACAGAAATGTGTGCCCATCCAGGCCCTCACTGATACCAGGAGCTCCTCGCAGGCACAGGGGCCCCGTTAACATCAGTGAGGCTCTGAATGGATGCAGAGCTCCACCCATTGCAGGACGGGGGTCCAAATTCCTCCTCCCTGCCTTCTTCCACACACTGCTCTCGCTTGTTTTTCTCCCACCTCAGTTTCCAAATACCATTCCAACGTCCTTATGCACTTACTCCCAGCACTGGTCCGTCTCCCTCCAAGCAGTTCACTCACGAAATAGGTAGATGACTTAGTCAGCTAGTTTCTTGTAGGTATTGTGACTAAGTGGTCTCGGAGAGGCATTTAAGGAAGTGCATTAGAAAGGAATTGATTATTTTGCTGCTGCTGTACCTGTGTCCTAAGCACCTCTGGCTGTGTACAGGAGCCACTGCTGAAAAGAGAAATTCTATGCAGAGAAAGCATTTGGATAGGATTCTCTCCACCCCAGGAGGGAAATCAAGGAAAAGTCTAATTACATTATTTCTTTCAGAGAGGGATTGCTCCAAACCTGCAAAATCTCATAGAAAACAGAATTTTTCAGCCATTTCCAAACGAAAAATTACAAAGTTTGAAAAAATAGCTCCGCATTAAGGATAGTGCCTAGAGAGAGGCTGCCATCTTTCATTGATTTGTACATCGACCATTCTTATTTTAAGACTTCTATCTAGAAGAGTCTCAAATGGTACTGTGTGCCTGAGACTAGCAAACACTGCTTTTTTTTATATCGGTTGTTATACGCATTAATAAACTGTGTCACTTGCAGCCTTCTAAAGCTACACAGCTCTTTTCAAGCATTAACCATCTATATGACGTTTCTAGGTGGGTGGGTGGAGGAAAAAAGGCATAAAGGTTAAATGGCTTTCTTGAGATGACAGTGGGAATTAGAACTCAGGAGTGCACAGTTTACAGTCCTGTGGTCAGAGACCTAGACCATACCTCTATGAAATATTCCAATTGATTTCAGTTACACCTGTACAATATACTGGAACATATGAATATTTTGCACAAGTTCTGCGGCAGTAGAAAAATAGCACAAATCTTATTCTTTATTAGTTGTTGTGAATTACTCAGGAGGTTTCATTTTTTTTAACTTGATGAAAATCATTTGTATGTCAGTGTATTTACAATATTTTATTAGGCTTTCTGCATATTCAAAGCAGTACAGTTTGATAAGCAATAACCAGAAATAATATAGTAAAGGTACAAAGTCTGCCATTTTCTTGGCACCTTACATGTAATTACAAGCAAAAATAAAAACAGATCTGGCAGCAGCAGACTATATGGGAGACCCACAACAATATATGGAATAAAAAGTATTTGCTATCTAAAAAGTGGCTCCTATTGAGAATTGTCCATCCAAGAACTTGTAGTCCGGGAAGGGGAAATTCCCAGCCATGTGTGGTAATGAAACTTGTATTTATTTAACCCCCTCTTGCAACTGTAGAAAGCTCTATATCTGAATTGCAAACAGTCAATAGACCCAGTCAGTGCTACATAAATCAACTGTCTGTGGTGTCCCAGTCCTGAAGATAAACATGCATATAACAAATCTGAAGGTGAAGACAAACCATTGCAATTCAGTCTGTTAATCTTTTATTAACACTCCCAAAGAATGATTGTCAGCTCTGGACAGGAACGTTTTGTGAGCCAGATTCCGAACTGTTATCCTGGTGTAAATCCGGAGCGGCCTAACTGAAGTCAGTGGGGATGGTCTTTCAGCTGAGGTATTGGATTGGATCTTCAGGAGATCTGGGTTCAGGTCTTGGCTCTGCCACAGTCTTCCAATGTGACCCTGAACCCTTTCTGCCTCAGTTTCTCTCCTTTCCCACAGATCTTCAGCCTTCACAGAAGGCCCAACTCTGCCTGTTCTCTGTACCTTGAAAATTGCTTTCCTTGGTGCTTCTGTCGGTCTCTATGACGACCACAGGCGGCATCAGTGGAACTATGCTCACCGATGGCCCTCTCACATGCTCTGTTGTGTGCTGGTTCTTACCCATACCACTTGGAGGTGGGGTGTGTGCAGAATCAATAATTCATCGAACAGCAGTGCACATTTGTGCTAGCTATACAAATAACTGGCTCGGTTTAGTTAGCAGGCAGTCCACATCTGGACTGGAGCACCATTTAATGGGAATCCTGGAATTGCCTAATGGGCTTATGGGCATGTGTCCTGGGTTTTTCATCCTTGTGAAACCAACGTGCTTACCCTGGGACATGTGGAATATTTTCTGAGTAGGGGAAAAAATGCTGCTCCTAAGAAACCTTCCCACTCCCTTTAATTAAATTCCTGAAACTGTTTTGCAAGAGGGAGGAAGGATTATTGATAAAAGCAGGGAACAACATCAGACTAAGTCTGTAATTTTTCCCATCCCCACCTTGTTGGTACTGGTTATCTTGGATTTCTACTGTGTGGTGAAAGCATCTTTGATGTTGCCTGGAATTTTACTGACTCTTTTCTTCTAATTCTGTAATCAAGATGAAGGAACAGGAAGCGGGGCAGGTGGAACTGAAAGCACGTTTTAAGAAAAACAGAAACAGGCTGACAATTATTTCTCTTGAAGTCAATGAGGCCTCTTGCAGATACAACAGCTGGAAAAGTGACCTTAATTACTTGAAGATGGCACAGACAGGAGGGAGACTGAGGGTTGACTGAGGCTGATAGTAGCACAGAACAATCTGAGTGTTATGGAAGAATAGATTCAGGTTTAAAACAGGTTAGTAATTACTACATGACAACAGGAATCTAAAATATACACTTATTCTGCTTTTGTTCAGGGGAGATTAGAATGTAAATGCTAACCAGTTCATGAGGATAGACTATGATTGTATATAAGCAGTGCTTCTAGCATAAGTTATTGATTACTAATATTTCAATAGCACCTAGAGTACTCAGCTGAGATGGGTGGCCCCTTTGG